CCAGAAGCAGAGGAGGCTAAGTGGGGGTGGAAAAGCGTATATCGCTGGTTACTGGTTGTTCTGTCTCCTGCTGGAAGCTCCATGAAGCTGCTTTCTCGTACCCACTGTTTGCTGATCTCTGATAGGAGTCCAAGATGGCAGATCCATGCTGCGGTACCTGATAGGGTACATCTGCATGTATCTCTCCTTGCTCTCTGTTCTTGGTCAGTTTCTTATTCCATTCGGTGCTTGGCTGAGTTCTTTATCTCTTCATTTGATGCTTAGGTTTTCAGGATTGATGTTTGACTCTGTTTGACTTAGTTTTTCTGATCTTTGCTGTGGAAGGACGGCACGGTGCTTCTGAGTATAGCGCCATGTGGCCCGGAAGTGTCGGTACATTTTTTGATACCTTCTTCACGTATGCTTTGCATTTTTTTCTTTTTGTTCTCTTTGATTCCCTAATTCTGTGCTTTCAGAATTAGATACGATAACTCTAGCCAATGAGTCCCAGGGTCTCCTTCTGGGCTGGAGGCTAGTAACTGCTTTAAGTCCACACTCTGTCACATTCATACTCTACCAGGCAATCACCAACTTTGTGTTATCAGTGAGGCAGCTAACAGCATAATAGTTAAGACTGTGGCCTATAGAGCCAGACTGCCTGGCTATGAATCATGGCTCTGCTGTTTACCATCTGAGTGACCTTCTGCAAGTTACTTATCCTCTCTGTTACTCATTTTCCTTATCTGTAATAAGGGAAATAATGGTACCTATTTCATAGGGTTGTTTTGAGTGTTAGGTGAATTAATTCATTTATATCCCTTATAACAGTGCCTGGCATTAAACCCAACCAAACCTGTTGCCACTGAGTCTATTCCAACTCATGGAAACCTCATGTGTTAGAGAGTAGAACTGCTCCATAGGGTTTTCTTGGCTGTGGTCTTTATGGAAACAGATCGTCAGGCCTTTCTCCCACAGCATTGCTGAGTGGGTTTGAACCGCAAGCCTTTTGGTCAGCAGCTGATCACAAACCCCTTGTACTACCCAGGGGCCTCCTGGCATATAAAACCAAAAAAACTAAACCTGTTGCCATTGAGTCGATTCCAACTCATGGCGAACCTATAGGACAGAGTAAACCTACCCCATAGGGTTTCCACTGAGTGGCTGGTAGGTTCAAACTGCTGACCTTTTGACTAGCAGCCCTGGGCTCCCAATAGTAAGCACTATATAAGTGTTAGCTATTATTATTATTACTGTGGGGTTTTTGTTTTAACTTATTTTGTATTCCAGAAGGACATTTAAAGAACATCACTCTTCCTGGTCATATTCAAGGGAACACACCATTGCCATTTCACATATCAGGTACCAAAGATTAAAAGGTTAAGAACATGTGGTGACTCATAAATACAGTGTTTGTTTTGATGACTTTTTTCATTATACATATTGTCTTAGTCATCTTGTGCTGCTCTAACAGAAATACCACAAGTGGATGGCTTTCATAAAGAGAAATTTATTTTCTCGCATTCTAGTAGGCTAGAAGTCTAAATTCAGGGCATCAGCTCCAAGGGAAGCCTCCCTCTCTGTCGGCTCTGGAGAAAGGTCCTCGTCATCATTAGTCTTCCCCTGCACTAGGAGCTTCTCTGCGCAGGAACCTAGGGTCCAAAGGACGTGCTCTGCTCCCGGTGCTCCTTTCCTGGTGGTATGAGGTCCCCAATTCCCTGCTTGCTTCCCTTTCATCTCTTGTAAAGTAAAAGGTGGTGCAGCCCACACCCTAGGGAAACTCCCTTTACCCTGGATCAGGGATGTGACCTGGGTAAGGATGGTGTTACGATCCCACCCTAATCCTCTTTAACATAAAATTACAATCACAAAATGGAGGCCAACCACACAATTCTGGGAATCATGACCCAGCCAAATTGATACACAGATTTTTTGGGGACATAATTCAAACCATGACATTCCACCCTTTGGCCCCCAAAAAATCACATCCTTGCAACACGGAAAACATATTCACCCCATCATATCATAGCAAAAGTCTTAACTCCAAGTCCAAAATCCAAAAATTCCTCTTCATCTGTGAAATCTAGAATACAAGTTATCTGCTTCCAAAGGTAC